TTTTGTTTGATTCTTCTTTTACAACTTGACTAATGTGGAAATAAGTTTAACATGATCATACACATATAACCTATATCAGATTGCTTGCTGTCTTGGGGGGGGGGGGAAGAGAGGGAAGAGGGAGGGAAAAAAATTTGGAACTCAAAATCTTACAAAAATAAAAATGAATGTTGAAAACCATCTTTAGGAAGTGAAAAATAAAATACTATTTACAAAAAACAACCTGAGTTTATCTCAGCTCTTATGTTTGCATTTCAAAGTTTCTGTGCAGCTATTATCTTTTCAACAAGAAAGTTTAAAAGTCTTCTGTTAAGTCATTTTTTCCTTCCCACCTGTATAGGACTTTACTCAGTTTTGCAGACTGTTATTCTTGTTTTTATTTTTAAGCCTTTAGCTTTTTCAGATATCAGATTTTCTCTCCCAAAACTGTAGTTGTGGCATAGTCTTCTGTCATCATGACTGGCTACTTGGTACTTAAACTCTTTCTGGCTGCCTGTTGCCTGTAGCATTCTTTGACTTGGAGGTTCTAGACTTTTTTAAAAATTTTTTAAGCAATTGGGGTTAAGTGACTTGCCCAGGGTCACACAGCTAGTAAGTGTCAAGTGTTTGGTCTGAGACCGGATTTGAACTCAGGTCTTCTGACTTCAGGGCCAGTGTTCTATTCACTGTGCCACCTAGCTGCCCCTGAGGCTCTAGACTTTTGTTATGATATTTGAGTTATTTTCCATTTCAGATTTCTTTCAGGCAGTGATCAATTCATTCAATCTATTTTCACTTTGAGCAGAACCAAGAGAACTTTGTATACAATAACAGCCATGTTGTGCGATGACTAATACTGATAAACTTAACCCTTCTCAGCATTACAAGGATCTCAGACATCTCCAGAGGCCACATGATGGAAAATGCTATCCACATCCAAAGAAAGAACTATGGAAGTTGAATTGCTATCATTTTTTTTTCTCTTCTGTTGAGTTTTGCTTCCTCTTTCTGCTGGCTCCTCCTATTGGTTTTAATTTTTACTTACAACTTCACTAATGTGAAATTATATTTAATAGAAATGTAAATGTATAGCCTATATCAGATTGTGCACCATCTTGGGGAGGGTAGTGGGGAGGAAGGGGGAGAAAAGTTTTAAACTCAAAAGCATATGGAAGTGATTGTTGATAAATCAAAATAAATTAATAAAATTTTTGAAAATCCTAACATTTGGGAAAAAATCTATTTTCACTTTGCCTTTTGGTTCTAATAAATTGGGGTAATTTTCTTGAAATATAACCACCAGATATTTTTGTTTGGTCATGATTTTCAGGGAAACTAATGCTTCTTAAACTATTATGTTTTCTGAGTCAATTGTTTTTGATAGCAGATGCCTACATTTTCTTTTATTTTTTCAATCTTTTGACTTTTAAAATATTTCTTTTCTTACGATATCACTGAATTCTGATTACACCATCTATTTTTTCAGCAACCAATTTTCAATTAATTAATTTTTAAATCAATTTTTTATTTTAAAATTAAAATTTAATTAAATAAATTAAAATTTAATAAATTAAATTTAAAAATTTAATTAATTTAAATTAATTTTTTCAATGATCAGTTAATGAAGGAGTCTATTTTCAAGGAGTCTACTACTTGGGTATGGTTTTCCATCTTTTATTCTAAATTGTATTCTACTTTTTAAAAATCTCACTTCATTTCTCCCTTTATTTTAGTCATTGTAGCATCTACTATAGTATTTGTTATGGAGTTACTCTATCTAGGTTTACCTCTTGGGCATCTCTTGATCTATAGTACATCTTAATTGTGTTTGGTGGATTTTTAAAAATCTACTCATAAATAATAAATTCTATTGCTACTCCAGAAGGTGGAGTAGAATAATATAATAATGAATACTATCACTACTCCAGAAGGTGTTTTGAAACAAAGGCTGGGGGTGGGGTGGAGAGAGAGAGAGGGTAGGGCCTTGGACACCCAACTGATATTCAGGGCTGGGTAGGGGTAAGGCAGGAAGTGTAATGGGATGGAGCAGTAGAAGAGGATACACTGAACCTTGTTCTTTTGACTGCTGGCTCCTGGGTCTGTGGGTCAAGAGTCTGGAAGGAAAGGAAACCACTCAGCCCAGACTTCCCTTGGCTCTTAGGGGCTGGGAGGTTCTGGCCTTTCTAGGTTTCTTAAGGGTTTGGGGTCAGGAGTGAAGGAGTGTCCAGTTCACTTTTGCTCCACCTTTGGTTCCCACTTCAAGCCCCTGGTGCTCAGGAGTCTCCTAAACCTATTCCAGACCACATTCAGGATAGGCCACATCTCAGCTTCAAGTTCTCTGGGGCAGGAACCCAGAAACTTCCAGCATATCTTTCATCCTGGTCTTTGTCAAGTACCTTGACTGCCCTCAACCCGCTGCTTCTCCCCTCTCTTCACCTCCTTTTCTTATTGTCCTAACATGTTTCTCCCTTTCCTCCCTTTCTTTCTGGATTTGGAGACAAAGGACCTGAGTTTGAACCCCAGTTCTGGCTCTTACAAGCTGTGTGACCTTGGGAAAAATCACTTCCCTTCTTTGCCTCTGTTTCTTCATCAGTAAAGTGAGGTTAAACTAAATGACTTTTCAGGTTCCTTCCAGCTTCAAACCTAATGGCTTTTGCATCTAAGCTTTTTCAGAAACCCTTTCTCAAAAAAAAAAAAAAGAAACCCCTTCTCTAAATTCCTTTTAAGAATCCCACACAGGGATAGGGACTACTTTGCTCACCAGGACTTAATAGCCAGCCTCCCTTCTACAAATCAGTTCCCCACATATTTCAGGAATTTCGAGTTGGTGTGAGGGATCACCCACAGTATTGCCCATCACATCAATACTGACCATGACTACTAAAATCATACTAATCCATATGCAAAAATTTCCTAGTTACTTAGGCTGAGAACTCTTCATCAATATATGCTGCTCTACCCATTGGCAGAGGTGATGCCTGAGAAAACAGGTCCATCTGGTTGTCTGGGACTATCCCAAGGACAAATTGATGGCATACTTACCTAAGCAGGACCAAATGTCTACAGCATTATAATTACAGGGAAGGAAGAAACGGGTGATTCAGTTTCCCTATTTGCATTATCTATATCTTCCAGGGAAGCTGACTTTCTGTTCATCATGGAAAAGTAGGCATAGTGAACAGAGCCTTCCTGGCCCATGTTTTCCAGAAAAGACTGACAGCAGTCTGGCCCTCCTGGTCTTACCTTGGGGGTTCTAAAGCCAATTACTGCTCTACATATAGAGCTAAGCCTGTCAGGGCCAAGGGAGGTGCTTCCTAGTCTTATCTCTCTGGGTGAGAGTTCCAGATTCTTTACCCTCTTTGACAAATCTGTGCTTGGGTCTGCACAGGATATCTTCAGGAAAACATAATTCTTACTCTTCTAAAATCTTTGTATTCTATCCTCCTGACTTTCTCTCATTGACACCTCCTTATCTAAAACCAGGGCAATGCTAGACTGTTCCTTGACCTTTCTATGGGTTTCAAGTAAATGTCACTCTAAACCTACAGAAAACATAGGGACAAAATGAGATCCATGCTTCTCATGCAAAGACCCGAAGGTAAAAGTCAGATTCCAAAGTGAACAATTGGGGTTTCATGTCTCATACTGTGGGGTCCCCCGCTCTTTTGCTACCCAATGTCCAGGCTGTGTCCTCCTTTCTAGAAAACAATCCGGGGGGGCTGTCATCCCCTGGAGGCTGCTAAAGGACAAAAGGCTCTTCAACCATTTGCTCTCCCAAGCCCAGATTAGGCATCAAGTAGGTTCTAAAGGTTGGATCCCAAGATAGTGTCAAGTTAGTTCTTGTCTATCCCAAAGATCCCAGGGATTAGAGCTGGTACTTCCCAGGCTGCTGAGGCTGGCAACAAATTATGAGGCACACCTGGAATGGGATCTCCTGCTTCCTGGACTCCTCCAAGGGAGAGAGAAACCAACCTGAGATTTTTGGAATCTATTGTTGCCAAGGGAACCCAGATAAGTCGCTGACCTCTCTCTCTTCTCCCCTTCCCAGCACATAAATGTGACCTGATGTACCTAGTATGGGGTGCATAAGGGCAGAGAATGCATCCAGAAAGCGGAGAATAGGCAAGATCAGGCAATGTGCCTGGCAGATAGGAGGCAACTAATAAATGGTTTTGTGATTGACTGATCAGACAAGAGACATTTGGACAGAGGTGAACCCTGCAGATGTAGGGGTCTCCATCTCCTCAAGGATATGGGAAGCAGATTTGCAGGAGAGAGACTAAGAAAAAAGTACTGGTGCGCTCCAGTCTCTGCCTTGTGACCCCTCTCAGTCAGTTATCTTCGTTTTCACCTTACCTGCCTCTGGTCTGGGGAACTCCACATACCCTGAGATTTAAAGGCAACATCAGGATTTGCAGGAAGGGGCAAAGGAGCATGCTTTGGGAATCACTGATGTAGACTGTCCGAGGCCACTGGGTTCCCAGGAGACAATTTCTCCCCCTACCCCATTCCAGCTCTCACAGGTGTGTCTCCCAAACTAAACCCTGCTTGAGAAGAGACAGGACCTTATCTAAGAGCCAGGAAAACATGGGTAGTGTCCCCCAAGCTAGCATTGCTCTCTGGCTTCTTAAACAATCATAATCGTGCCTTTTAGAATTAAAAATAGCAACCAACAAAACAATGAGAAACAGTCCACAAGGGCAGTATGGATTAGGCAAGACTGGCTAGGGGGTGAGTTTGCTAACAAGCCCCAGTGTCATCAAAAGGGTAGAGGATCCCATGCCCGGCCTCCATCCCTCCTAACCTTTATCTTCCACCCTGAGCTTAGCGCGGCTTTTTAAGGAAATCTTCCCCGGGATCTCGGGCTCCGGGGGTAGAGTGGGGGTTACCTTGGGAAAGTGCGGGGATCCCCCAGCCATGGGGCGGGGTGTGGAGTGGGAAGCAGCAGAAGGTGTTAACCCTTTGGGGATGGGGTGGGGGCGTCGGCGGGGGTAAGGTCCCTGCCTCCCCATTCGGCTCACCAGTTCACACAGGGCCCCCATACAGAGTGACTCCAGAGCTAGTGTTTCCTCTCTCTCCGTCTTGCAAAGCAGAGAAACCGTTTCCTGCAGCAGGTCTCCAGTCTCCTGTCTCCCCCCCAGTCCTCAACCCCCGCTCCCCACCTCTCGCTTTATTCTTCCCTCCTCTCCCCTTTCTTCCCCGCCCCAAGTGGGAGGGTAAAAAGGAAGGGAGGAGACTCGGGCCAGCCTAGGCGGTGTAGATCCGTAGGAGGGGGTGAGGGGAGACCAGAGGCTGTTGGGAGCTTTCTTGGAGGAGGAGAAGCGCAAGAACCCCAAGCTTAGCCCGATTCGTCCAACCTAAAGGATTTGGGGCCATCCCAATACAGTAGGATGGAGGATGGGGAATTTCCCTCGGGGGTGCTGGAAGTGGGGGAGGAGGCCAGGGTGCTTTATGTGTTTGGGGTTTCGGGAAAATGGGTGGTGGAGATCGGGAGTCTTGTAGCACTGGGACTTGCCTTTAGCCAGCCTCCAAGAGACTGGTATTAATTTGCCCACTGATTAGCATTGGAGTTGCATATCTCCATTTTCCGCCCTTTCCGACTATCAGCGTCACAATACATAGGCCTGAGGGTTAGGCAGCCTGGATAATGGAGAGGCTAGCTTTGGAGCTGGGACTGGGTGAATTCCCTATCCCCAGAAGCCTGGATGCTTTTTGTGTGTGTGTTCCGGAAGCTGAGTTTGTCTTTGGGGGTGGAGAGTGGGAGGAGCAGGTGGCCTTGACCCATTCAGACCCCAAAACCACTTCCAAAGATGGACCGTGATTCAAGGAAGCTGTTTGTAGGAATGGAAGACTTTTGGCCAATGGATGCTAAAACAAAGCAAGAAGATACATACGCGTGCCACACACACACACACACACACACACACACACGGTGACAAAGGGGAAATTAATAATTCTTCAATTATGAAGAACAGACAGCTCCCCCCATCTCTCTTCCTTTCTCTCTCCAGCGCATAGGGCACATAAGACTCCAGAAGTCCCACGAGAGGGTGGCGGAGCAGCAGGCATCTTTCCCCACCCTGGCAGCATGGTGTCTCCTGGCTCTCCTTGTTGTCCTTCCTACTCAAAGAGGACCAATGACATCATAATGTTGGGGTCATTGTACAGTGTGTCCAACTGTGGCCGATCAAACCAATAGGAATTCAGAAGCCTCTACCACAGGTGAGGCACAAATAGCCGGAAGGAACATTTGGGAGGAAGGTATTTCTCAATTTTTGTATCTCCCCTTTCTTTTGAGCAATTGCAATCCTGCTTTGCTCGTAGCACTTCTCCCCAGTGTTCTGGGGTGAAAATATTAAGAGCCAGAAAATACAAGAAAAAGCTTGATCCTCTCTAGTGGTCCAGAAGCCACCAGGATTGAACTTGGCCCAAAACCATTTGGATCTAGAGCTGAGAAGGCCCCATAAGTGGTTATATTCAGTGAATAGAGGACTGAGCCTGGAGTCAGATTAGAATTCTAATCCAGCCTCTGACACTAGTGACCTTGGACAAATCACTTGATCTTGTTTGTCTCAGTTTCCTCTTGGGTAAAATGGGAATAATAATAATAATAGCACCTAACTCTAAGGATTGTTGTGAGATTCACAGAATAGTAGTAAAGTGCTTAGCACAGTGCCTGGCACACAGTATATACTATATAAATGTTAGCTATTATTAGTATTGTTACACTAAGATTGTGCCTTGTCACTTCTATACCTCACTCTGGCTGTATTTAGCCCTCAGAGCTATCACCTCTACTTCTTTTCAGAGCTGCCTTTAATATATAGCCTCATTCTCCTTTATGGAAGGGGAGTACAGTCCAGTGTGATTTGTTGCCTGGGGATGAGCCTAGCACCTCTCTTGGACCTAGGTCCATCCTTCAGCATTGGAAGGGGGAAGAGAAAGGGAGCAGGAGTCAGTGTTAACTCAATTTCCCTTTCTCTAGCCCAATCTCAGCCCTGTTTTATGAGTACCATAGTCAGTGGCATGACAACAGATGTCACCAAAGTAAGCTGGGTACATTCCCAAGAGCCATCTGAGCAGAAAGAATATCCAGGGGTCAAAACAACTGCTACTCTTTTCCTCTTCCTGAAAAAAAAAGGTCGAATTGTGGCAGTTTCTGACTTCCCCTCCCCTTCTCTGAGTCTCACCTTGATCCGCATCTTCTACCTTCACAAGATAAAACTGAACCTGAACTTGTGGGACAGCTGGGAGAATGTTTTGTACTCCCAGAGTGCACATCCTTGCCTCTTGCTCTGGAAGGCACAGGAGAGCTGCTTTCCTGCCTCAAAGCGGAGCCACTTTCAATTCAGCCTTTGAAAGCCCTAGATGGGCCCCTCTTCAAGTCTCTCTGCTTCCCAAGGGGGCAGGGTAGTTTGGGGGCCCTGCATAGGCCCCTCCTCAAGGGGTCAAGGTAATTTGAGAGTATGGGAGGAGGAGGGGAACAGATTCCAGAGCCCAAAACCCAGTCACAGCACCCATTTTCTACTTAAGAACATCAGCTTTAGGTGAGGGTAAGGCGATTGGGAATTTCCTTAACAAATTTAAAAAATTATTCATTAATTTATATTGACACCATGGGGGGTGGTGTGTCCGTGTGTCCGTGTGTCCAGATCTGTGATTTCCTTGGGAGCAGGGAAATCCTAGTGTGAAAATCCCTTCTACCAATGCAGCTTGGAAACTTGCCTCTAATTACCTCAACTGTAAAGAACTGGTTGGACCACTGAGAGGTTAAATAAGATGTCCATAGTAACCCGGGTCATTCTGACTTTAGACTAGCCCTCAAATGACTAGTTGACCTCTCATCACCTCTGTTACTATGTTATTATAATTAATTGTAGCAGGGATGATATTTCACCAACACCTAAAATGAAATATCCCTGTAGAGTATTTCTGATTTCTTTTTAGTACTGTATTCCACCCCTCAAACCTATTCCCCCCCCCAGCTGTATTTAGCTTCTCAATCCTTGGTTCTTAAATATCTCCAAGAGTATTAAAATATTTTTCCATTACTTGAATCACCATCTTTAGGACTACCTATCTCTTTCAGATTCCTCCCTTATCTCCTCCCCTCCCCCCCAATCATACCATCATATGCACAGAGCAGCAGTAAGCCTATGGCTAAAACCTGGAGTGGCTATACCCTTTGCTTGACCTTGAGTCCCTTTTTGGCCTGGAATTGGATCCTTGTGTAAGATGAGTGTGAAGGCATCTGGCCTACCCAGGCCTGTGGGAGCCTGTGTTATCAGCTATGACCCTCCCCCTTCACTTGAACCCTGTCCTTATTCTCTCCTTCCCATCCTCACCAGCTCTGAGAATAGTGTCTCTCTACTCAGATCCCTGGTCTTCATCTATCTCTCTTCTCTGTTGGGTGTGAGTGGCATAAATGAGGAAATAAAAGGTCATAGAACAAAGGGAGATCTTGAGGTGCCACATAGCTAATTCTCTAGTTAACTAAAGATATCCAAAAGAACTACCATGGGGTCAGTCGGTGTTGGAGCCCTGGGAGCCTGGGCCTCTGGAGACATGTCCTTCCCTATGACCTTCACTCCATCCCCCAATTCCTGTCCTGCTGGATACTGAGAATTTGTCAACTCCCACCGCCCAGCAGGCCCAATGGTGACCCAAAAAGCATTGAACCCCAAGAAGGCCTTGTTACCTGTTCTCACCTGCTCCAGCTGCCCCCTAAGACTGGGGCTGGAGTTGAAGTGAATAACAAAAGTGAACCAGGAAGTCTGCAAGGCATTCTAGATGTACAAGGTTGCCCATTGGTCAACATGGTCTCTTGTTTTCAGCTGTGCTATCAGCTAATGCCCAGGATCACTTACCCTCCAGCTCTAAAATTCTACATGTTTGTGACATCTGTGACCATTGTCAGCACAGTCTTCACCTCATTAATCCCCTTTTACCCCTTATGTCAGAATATGACTGGGGCCTCCCTAGCTTTGCTGACAAATTTAGTCCAATCCCTGATTTTATAAATGAAAAGCTGAGACCTAGAGAGCTAGGTGAATAGTCCAGGATCTGATTAGTGGCAAAGTCAGAACTAGGACCCAAGTCTAACTCAATTAGGGCCACTCACTACAGCAAAGAAAATGAAGGCTCTGTGTGAACTAGAGTTTTAAAGGGAAATTGGATCAATTTCTCTGATGCATTTCGGTTCCTACATGTGGTAGTAAATGCTTCTCCAAATGAATGATTCTATGGTAACTCAGTGCCTGCCCTACAGAGAGGAGTCCCTGCAAAAAACTTATATGTACAAAAAATGTATTAAAGGAAACTCCCTTTGCAGATGCAGGTTTGCATCTAGTATATGTCAAACTCTGGTCTTCTTGGCTCTAAGAATTAAAGAACTTATGGAGGAGCTTCTGGTTTTTCCCCTTGAGATGCCACATATGAATACTAACTGATTTTTTCTGCCTATAGGCAAATAAGTTCACACTGGTCTGGAGTCAGGAAGACTTGAGTTCAAATCCAGCCTCTGATAGTTGTTTAACCCTGGGCAAGTCATTTAACCTCTGTTTGCCTTACTTTCTTGAACTGAAAAATGGGGATCATAATAGTACCTCCTTCCCAGGGTGGTTGTAAGGATCAAATGGTTTTATTAATATTTGTAAAATTCTCTAAGTAGAAGGTACTTAATAAGCATTTATTTTCTTCCTTCTTTTTCTAGGGAAGGAAGAATAAATTCCCAAAACACAGATATCCTAAGGGAAAAAGGTGTTAATTATTATCTTAATTATATCTACATATATATATACATATAAGTACATAGCTACTTTCTAGAAAGCAAGATCAATTCATTTAAATTCTCAGATGGCAGGTGGCACTTATGGTTACAAAATTCTTAAAAGTAAACATATCTTAAAATTTTTTAACGTCATTTTCCACTGACTCAGCCCTTCCACTCCCATTGAACCCTTCTCTATAATGAATAAATATAATCAAACAACAAAAAAAAAAGAAAATCCACATTTCTGAAGTCAAGTATTCTCCTCAATTACAGCTTTTGTGGATGAGGTCTCTGCCCCCTGTTTCCTTAAGTTTACGCGGAGTCAACATTCTTCTACGGGGTGAGCCTGCTGCCTTTGTATTACTTTGCTATAAAGGAACAAAATCTAAGGTCTTCCTACTGCTACGTACTGTGGGATTTACTGTGTTTTGAATAAACATTGTTCTTTCTTAGTCTCCAAGAGTTTTTGACCTAGTAGGGAATACAAACCAACACAGCTGGAATAGAAATATTGTATTTCTTCCAAATGGAATACCAATATCAACGTTATTGGGGTTCACAGTCTAATGGGAGGGACAACATGCAAATAACTGTGGAAACAAGATCAATATAGGGTAGAAAGAAGATAACCCAGAGGAGGAGGGGCTGGGAGGACTAGAAAAGGTCTCCAGCAAAAGGTGAGACTTGAGATGAGTCCTTGAAGAAGGTCAGGGAAGCCAAGAGGCAGAGGTGAGGCTGGAGAGTGTTCTGGGCATGGGGGGCAGCCAGCAAAAATGCCCGGAGGTGGCAGATGGAGAGTTGTTTGAGGAACAGAAAGGAAGCTAGTGTCACTGGATTGTGGGTCTGTGGAGGAGAGTAAACTGTTAAGACTGGAAAGGTAAGAGGGGGGCTAAATATCGAACAAGAGTGTTGACATTTGATCCTAAAGGTAACGGAGCCATTGGAGGTCATTGAGAGAGGTGGGTAATATGTCAGAGTTGCAGTTTGGGGAAATCACTTGGGCAGCTGAATGGAGGATGATTGTAGTTTTGAGAGACTTAAGGTGGGGAGACCAACAAGAAGGCTGTTGTGATAGTACAGGCATAAGGTAATAAGGATCTGAACCAGGGTGGTGGTGTGTAAAGAAGGTCAGCAGAAAAATACAATGCATTTTACATGATGAGAGCAAGAATTAACTGATATCTTCTCCATTTCAAGAGATAGCTAGGAAGGCTTTAGCAGGTTGGGTGGGCCTTCTGGAAAATTCTAAGTCAGGAGTTGCACAACTGGAGAGCAATTTGGAATTATAACCAAAGAGTTATAAAACTGTGTATACCCTTTGACCCAGCAATACCATGATCAGGTCTATTTCCCAAGGTGATTGGGGCGGGGGGGAAGAACCTCTAAGTTCTAAAATACTTATAGCAACTCTCTCTGTAGTGGTAAAGAACTGGAAATTGAGGGGATACCCATCTGTTGGGGAATGGCTGAAGAAGTTGTGGTGTATGATTGTGATGAGTTACTACTCTGCTGTAAGAAATGATGAGTAGGTTGGTTTTAGAAAGACAAGGAAAGACTTGAGGAGAGCAATACAATAAATATTTTTAAAATAAGAATTGTACCCCACTTGGCATAGATGGGTTGTTATTTGCTTTGCTGGCTAAAATATTCGTGTCAAAGAGATCACAGATGCATCTGAGTATTTCCTAGAGACAGGAAAAGGAAGTTGGGGTAAATGGGAAAGGTACCAGAAATAAGCTTTGCTTACTCACTGTCTTCCCTGAGTCCCTTCTTGGCTTTCAACACCCATACTCATTTCTTGTGTCACCTTTTATCCCTGACTCCTGAGACAGAGAAGCATGGGAGAAACTTAAGGAGTGTAGCCCAACACATCTACTAAAAAACAAATCTTGACTTCTACAGAGGGTACCTGTGTTATGGCATTCTTGACCTGTGTGCTGGAGCTCAATCCTTAACTTCAAGTAAACTTGGATAGGTTAGGGCTTGATTGAGGTCAGAGGACCATGAGTGCAGGAGCTTGGGGAGGGGATGCAAGAGCTAGGGAAGGTATACTGCACTGTTTGCACTTCCCACTGGGTGAGAACAGTAACCCCAGGGGCCCCGAGGGAACTGGCCTTCATTTGGGAATGAACTTCCCAAATCACAGAAGGAGTTCTTGTACTACAGAAGAGCATAATAGCAAAAGCTTGGGGTTGGGGGTACACATCCCTTTACCATCCAGGAAATCAATATTCCCTTGCCTAATAGTAAATGGGAATCGTGATAAAGAGAGATTAGAGAAATTATTATGTTTGGAGTCTTCTCCCAGAACCTGGAGATTATTGGTCTCCCCCAGTGAAACTCCCCAAGGCTGGATTTTTGTTTTGGGAAATTCTAGATCTCATGAAGTCTCCTGACAGCTGCAGCATCGGTATGGGAAAGAATGAGCATCAAGCTCTGTGTTCTGAAGAACCTGGTGAACTCTATGGGAATGTAAAGTCATTCGTTACCCTGGATTTGCTGTGTTTTAGGGGCTTCCTCATTCTTGTCAATGAGACTGGAGAATGGTTTTTTTTTTCTCCTTTCTTCTTGTTCCTATTTATTGAGCTTTTTGTATATGCCAATTATAATGCTGGCTGCTGGAGGGATCTCAGAGAACATCTCAAAAACAAACTCACAGTGTCTCTGTCTCTCTCTTTCCTCTCCCTGCCCTCCTTGCCCTCTTCCTCCCTCTCTCCTTTCTCTCTTTCTCTCCCTCTCTCTTCCCCTCTCCCTCTCTCCTCTCTCTCTCCTTCCCTCCCTCCTTCTCTCTCTCTTTCCCTCCCTTCCTCCCCCCTCTGTCTGTCTCTCTCATCTTCCCTCCCTTCCCTCTCTCTTAGAGAGTGGATTTACTCTTCCATTCCACCTCAGCTACACAAAGGGATAATTAATTACACTCTTGCCATCACCAACCAGTGTTACACTTTCCTGATCAAGAACTTTTAAATTTCTTTTTTCTTCTTCTTTTTTTTTTCTGGTGAGGTAATTGGGGTTAAGTGACTTGTCCAGGGTCGCATAGGGTCAAATGTCTGAGGTCAGCTTTGAACTCAGTTCCTCCTGACTCCAAGGCCAGAGCTCTATCTACTGCACCACCTAGCTGCCCCTAACTTTTAAATTTCTTTATCATAATCTCCTATCATTCTATCTCTCTGTGTGTTAATCCTATTTTTTGTTTTTACCTTAACCTCCAATCCTTCCACCCCTCAGTACTTTTCCAAGTCATCATCCCAGTTCTCTTTCACTTTCCTTCCTTCCTACTCTCCATCCCTTAATCCTTGGTTTCCAAAGTGGGGGCCCAAACTCCCAGTGGCCTGTGGTATGACCCCAAAGGGTAACCAATAGGTTTCTGGAAAGATGGATATCATCTCCATCTTCTCTCAGTAGCCAGTTGGCTATCATGAGGCTTGTCTTCAACACAGTCTTATATACCTTTCAATCATTAGTGCCCAAGGTTGCCTCACTTTGCTTTCTCCTGCTTCTGGTCTCTTATGGCTATGAAAGCTCTCATCCTTTCCTCCCTTTCCCTTAAGATGCTTATTAGCCTAACCTCAATCTGAGAATCCTCACCAGGAACTGTATAATCACAATCTTCCTCCCCTCCACCTAGTGGACTCAATACCTTATCCCCAAATCATCTCATGGATGTGGCTACTGGGCACTGAGTAAGAGCCCTACTTCTCTTAACTATGAGTTGTACAGGATGAGTAGCTGTGGATCTGTGTTGCTGATCTCTTTAAGTCACATTTTCCCCCAAACGCAGCCCTCTTTCAAAATTCTCTATTTCTGTTGCAGGCACCACCATCTCATCAAGATTTGTGTCCTTAGCTCCTTACTATTCCATCCCTGTCCTCTCTCCCCCATTCCAATCATTTGCCAAATCTTACCATTTCTACTTCCCCAATATCTCCCATATCCATTTTCTTTTCTCTACCTACACAGCCACCATCCTGTTCAGGCCCTCATTGCTTCTCACTTGATCTATTAAAATAGACTCCTAATTGTTCTCTCTGTCTTAAATCTCTTCCCACATTTCAACTCATCATCTACACCGACGTCAAAGTGATCTTCCTACACTGTAAGTCTGACCATGTCACTGCCATGCCCTCCTGCTCAGTAAATGTCATTGGTTCTCTATGATATCTGGGACCTATTATAAAGATTGGCATTTAAAGCTTTTTACAGACAGGCGTGCTCCTAATCTTTCCAGTCCTCTCATACATCACTCCCTTCCACATGTTCTATGATCCATCCATACTGGATTTCTTGCTGTCCTTCTGAGAGAAATGATTATAATAACCAATTATTAATATTGGGATCCCAGGTTTTTTGTCTTTTTGCTCCCTCATTCAAAGCCCAGACCTAGTAAGTCTAGTCGGTCTCTGAAGGATTGGGTTGCTGGTGAGATTGGCTTAACCCTTGGGAACATTCTCCTCTATCTTGGGCAGGACCCCACCTAACTTGAAGAGTTTATTTCTGATTAAAGTATAAAAAGAATCTAATCTAGGTGAATTCCAGCCTAAAGCCTTAGGCTGATCTCTAGGAAACCCCCCCCCCCAGTTCAATTTAAGTGGTCTGGGTAAAGATGGATTCTTTTGTCTGGAATGTGGCTGAGTCTTATGGTCAAGTAAAGTTCTCAGCCAAAGGAGCTGAAGACTTTTGGTCCATCTCCTCCTTAATATGTCTACCTTTAAGGAGTTGTGAACTGATCCAACTATTCTGGAGAGCAATTTGGAACTATGCCCAAAGGGCTATAAAAATGTGCATACCCCTTGCAATAATAGCACTTCTAGGGCTATATCCCAAAGAGATCATACAAATGAGAAAAGGACCCACATGTACAAAAATATTTACAGTGGCTCTTCTTGCAGTGGCAAAGAATTGGAAATTGAGGGGATGCCCATTAATTGGGGAATAGCTGAACAAGTTGTGGTATGTGAATGTAATGGAATACTATTGTTCCATAAGAAATGATGAGCAAGCAGAATTCAGAAAAACCTGGAAAGACTTACATGAACTGATGCTGAGTGAAGTGAGTAGAACGAGTAGAATATTGTACACAGTAACAGCAACATTGTGCAATGACCGACTTTGTTAGACTTAGCTCTTCTGAGCAATGCAATGATCTAAGTCAATTCCAAAAGACTCGGTGATGGAAAATGCTATCTACATCCAGAGAAAGAATTATGGAGTCTGAATGCAGATCGAAGAATACTATTTTTTGTTGTTGTTGTTTCTTCTTTCTTGTGGTTTTTCCCTTTGGTTCTAATTCTTCTTTACAACATGACTAATGTAGAATATGTTTAATATGATCACACATGTATG